GAGCCACCAGTGCTCATCTCAGAAAGTCCCTCTCTTAAGATGTGGCCTCCGATCTGGCCTGCAAAATATCACACGCCCAGCCTCTTGCAGTTTGCTAGTAGCCAGCAAGATGTGCTTCAGATGGAGGCATTTACAGTTGACCATCAGAAAACATCTACCTTCGTCAGTAGAAGAATAAGGGAACATGTTTAGTTATTGTTTACACAATTTCTTCTTCAAATTTCTTTTTCTTTATCATTTATTAGGAACAATTAAAGGTAATCCCTTAAAAACATGAAGTGGTAGGCTAGGGAGATGACTCAGTGCAAAAGAGTGCTTGCAGTGCAAGCAAGAGAAGCTGAGTTCAAATCCCCAGGATTCAGATAAAAGCTCAACATGGCTTGTATGTACCTGTAACCACAGTGTTGGGAGGCAGAAATGAGTGTATCTGGGAAGCTCTCTGGCCAGTCAGTCTAGCCAAAATGGCAAGTTTTATGTTCAGTAAGAGATCCTGCCTCATGGGAATAAGGAAATATGAAATATGAAAGCACAGGAATGTACTCATTTACATACTCACACTACACAAAAGAAAAGAATAAGAAAAAAAAATCTTGGAACGCTTCTAATCGCATAGGGCTTCAACATAATCTAAATGTGGCTATTTAATTCTGATCAGATTTGAACTCTCAGATTTGTGGGCACCCCCAAATTAAAGTCCCATATCTTCATACTCCATCTTTATTATAGAAGACCCCCCCACACACACATACTTTCCACAGAATCCAAATATGATGAAAAATAGTATAGTGAGGGAAGTATGGATTTTTGTTTTGATTTTTATGTATTAGTTTTACTTGTTAACTCATTCCAGGCAATGAAATCTTGGACAAATTACAAAACTTTGAGATTTCATTTTCTGTATTTGAAAATGAGAGAGAATGCTGCCAAGAGCTAGGGTATACACATGTAAGGATGAAGAACAGACCTGACCTGTCAGGAACTCAACCCATGCTCCCAGCATCCATACCGAGTGAGATGTGTTTTCACCAGGTTCACTCAAGGTAGCCACCCTGTGGCTCTTCTCGTCAAAATTACTCATTGTGTCATGGAAGAGGATGACTTGATAACCAAGATGTCAAGCTAGTTGCAGCAGAAGTCTTAACGGTTAAAATCATTTAAACAAGTCACTTGTAGTAGAGTTTCAACATGTCAAAAAAAAAGTATTTTATGCCACTTGAGCCACGACAGGGGGTATTTTTTGAGTGATGTCAATCAATCTACAAATAAGAATGCTTTTCACCCTCTTTAAGGATCAAAGACCCGAAGAACAAAGTATCCTTGGATTTCCTCTTTTCTGATAATGGGGTAAACGAAGACCATGAACCACCAAATCATTGGTTGTCCAAACTTATTGTTAAGATTGAAAAGTATGAGGATCTGATTCTGATCCTGCAGGTCTCTGAGGAAGAATGGAGAATTACGGAGAATAATGAAGTGGACCTGAAGATGCACTGCACGAACCAAACTGGAAAACGCTCTAGATCAGTCCTGTGCTCTGTTCTTCTGAACAGGATGCAGCAGCGAGACAGAACAGCATTGCCAAGCAGTTCAAACACCCTCACCCACCCACCAATGTCCCACATGATCCCCACTCTTGCACTGGTAGTGCTCTCAAGGAGAAGGTGCCCAGTAAATTGAACATTAATATTGACTCCAAATCAACCATTTAGAAAGGGAAGATTAAATATAGGGAAGAGTGACTATGAATTTGAATAAAGAAAACAAACAATCAAGAGGAATGTATTGACTTAATGTTGCTACAAAGTTTTGGTTTATCTTGGAGCTAAGCTAGTCTGTAAGATTATTCTAGCACAGTGTGTGTTCATTCTGTTACAGGCTCATGCTATCGGCATCCTTTCTATAGATTGAAAGACCTAATACCTTTGTTTAACAAAAGGAGGCTCCTGTGCCCTTTGTGAGTTAAATGCAGGAAGTCTTCATTCCCATGGGTCTCAGAATTATCTTTTACATCTCTCTGTCTCCACAAACAGAGACTAGAGGCTGTTCCAGGAAGATTCCATACCCAGAAACATTTACTGTGGTGTGGACCAAATTTAGTAGTACACAGACCACAAAAGGTTACCCCAGGCAGGGAGACCCTCATCTTAAGACAGCCAGCAGTCACATGACAAAGGGCAAGATTTAAGCAGTGTGTGGGTGAAGCAAATGTCTCTCCACTTCACACCTGTGACTATTTGCATAATCGAAATATTAGCTATCAAAAATATCCTCTTGATAACCTGAACTTTTGCCTATGTCATGTAAAGCAGTCTGAGTCTTGTTTTTTATGAAAACAATCACATGTAGTTACCAAAATTACAAAAGAGACATTGCAGGTCACATGGGTAACTTTGGCATGTTCTCAAGCACAGCTATAAATGGCATTGTTTCAGTTTATTTCAGAAAATTACAAATAATCTGGTAAATGTCTTGGAAATGTGGTCTGTTGTATTGGAACTGGTACTTCAAAGACCAGAATGGCTCCTATTTGATCAACACTATTCAAGGACCAAAATATTGACCTAATTTTAAATTAGATAAGTAAAAATATTTCTAAGAAGGTATAGAAATAAGAGATTAAATTATATATCTTAGTATGGAAGCCAGTCCTTTAACTGTGTGCCCTTTTTGTGCCTCTGCTAGAGGCAGAGTAAAGTGATGGAAAGGACAGACAGACAGACAGACAGACAGACAGACAGACAGTCCTGAAAAGATCCTTACATCCAAGAGCTTCAGTTTCCACTCCTATAAAACAGAAGGCTGAGAGTTGGTGAGAGTGCACAGATCAAGCCATGGTGTGCAGTGGGCATTGCATATGTATCTGTGACTTTATTATCAAGGGGAAGACTTTCAGGATTTCAGCTTTTTAATAGTGCCTACTGCTCTTGCAGAGGATCCAAGCTTTGGATGCCACAACTACCTGTAACTCCAGCTCCAGAAGATATGACATTCCTGGCCTCTGGCAGGTACCAACACTCACATGCACTTCACACACACATACCAACACATATGCACACAGAGAGAAAAACAAGAATGAAGAATGAAAGAATAATCAATTCAATAGCTTACAGGGGCAGCAGGGATTGCATTCAGAGACCCCTTCCTATGACAAGAAAGTATGGTCTTTCATTCCCTGAATACCAACAAGGAAGAAAATATTTATCAGTTAGGACTATTTCCTTCACTACATAAATTATTTCAAATCAAAGAACCAGAAAACCCCCTGTAAGACAGCATATTATCTAGACCTGATATGAGGTTTCAGTCTTAAGGTCTTTTTGCCATCATGTTTAGGAAATAGGTGAAGCAAATGTGTCTTCTTTGAGCCAAAGCTTAGGCCAAACATGGGGCCAGACATGCTTCTCCTTCCATGCATGATGTCCAATGTGGGCAATGTGTTATCCCGGGCTGTTTATCTGATTTTGTAAGCTAGGATGAGAGTTTGGTTGATGATCATCATTAAGGACCATCTATTATTTTGTACCTTTTTTCCCTAGGTAAAAATTTACAGTGTCCTGATGTCTTCAGGCTGCTTTATATATTCAACAAGAGCAGATGGATATGCAAAGGTCTTAGGACAGTGCTCAGTATACAAGTGTCTATTTCTGGGACCTAAAATGATTGAGGTGATCCCATACCCATGGCCCGCTCAGAGTCACATAGCTAGTTAAGGACAGAAGCGACACAGTCCACTGGCTTGATTTACGTGAAAGCAACAGGTTCCATTGAGCCTGTTGTCTGACAGGTAGGATAACTTGGTAGCCAAAGCATGGCAAGAATGCAGAGGGGGCACAGCATCAGGTCCTCATGCACAGCAGTCTTGCATTCATATGCTTCATGTACAAACATGCTCACAGGCTGTGGACAGCTAACTCATCAAACCACAAAGGAACTTCAACAACTCAAGGGCAAGAAAAGGGCTCCAGGCTTCTGATGATGCTTCCTGATCATCTTGCCTATCAGTTAATCTAGCTTTAGCAGCTGGCTGCATCTGCACTGTTTTACTGGCTCTTTTGCAATTATTTCAGAATGGGAAACAAACTTAGAATCCAAACTGAAGGATATTTTTGTTGGATAGTAAATGTTATTGCTTCCCACTAAGCACATAACTTGAGCCAAAGAGAGCTGTGGCTACCGTTACCCTCTGTCCACTGAGACCCTTTCGGTGATGCTTATTTTGCTAGAGTCTTTGCAGAGGAGTCTTTGCAGCCTAATACTGACCTTGAGGGTAAGAGGTGGAAAGCATATATCTATAAAAGTAGACAGATGAGGACAGCTGCTATGTCCAGGCTGGAAGAAGGTCTCTTGGAGTACAAGACGGAGAAAGTATTATTTCAGAAGGTAGGGTGTAGCTTTAATAAATGAGGCCTCTTAAATCTACTGCCTATATAAAACACACCTATGGCCAAAAAAGTGAGGTTTTCTTGCTGTTTTAAATAAGAGTTTAAAAATAGCTTAATAAAAATCTTTGACAATTGTAACCATATCAGAAAGAGCAAGGGATTATGAAATAGAGCAGATTTCAGAAGGGGTTAAATCCCCAAGCCCTGGGTCCATTTCAGAGTCATAGTTGGGGGATTTGTCATCGGGGAAAGATGATTACAAAACTGTGCCCTGCTCAACCTAGGATCTTAGGAAAGATGCTGGGCAAGTACTCGGAACGCTTATCCATCCCCTTAACTAGAGTTCTGTGCAAGCAAGAATTCTGCTGATCTGCATATTTTGACATTTTGCCACATACGTTCTTGTTAGTTCATATTTCCTCAGAATCTGCACACTATCAACCTGTTTCTCTAACTGCTTGCGTGAGTTTTCTGTGCAGTCTCAATGTGAATTAGACAGAGCACAAGCCTGGAACCGGAGGGCAGGCATCTGTAATTACACAAAATGGCCTGCTGAAAAACATAGGCGTCCAATTAGGTTGTAGAGCATTGCTGTCGAAAGGAATTCCCTTAACTTACCTGCCTCTCGGTCCCTGATACAGTAGTCTGGAGAATTCTCAAAATACACGAGGTCATTTTTCGTTGGCTTCTTAAACCTCTTATTGGCTACAGTGAAGCCAGTGCCATCCTGGTTCATGACCACTTGGATGGCCCCGTTGTACTTCCTCCAAAGATAGTCTCCTGTTTTCCTGAAGTCAGCCATGGCCAGCCAGCATGTCCTCAGAGTACACGAGCCACTCACACCATGACACTTGCATTCTTGTTTCAAGAAGCGCTTTACAGCCTGCAAGAAAGACAGAGGAAAGCTCATTTGGGCAATCTAAGTACAGGATCCAGCTATGAGTTTCCCAACCTCAGTGCTATAGAGAAACAGCCCTGAGGAGGCTGGATCCTGGGATCCCAGAGCATCACTTGCCATTTGCTCGTCACCTTGGGTACACGGTTGGTAACTGCAACCATTGGGAGAATAGGTTGAGAAATGATAGGACTCCAACTCTGAACCCCAATCTATTTACTATCCATGTAACCAACACTATTTTATAGGACACATAGCAGCTTATTTGTTTATTTTTTAATTTAAAGCATTTTTCATATAGTATATTTTGATAATATTCTTTCCCCTTTCCTAACTTCTCTCCTATCACTC